TATTGACTTATAGAAGTATGCCCAAATATAAGTTCTACTATCAGTCTTGGGAATGATGAAATGTGTCCTGCCTGTGACTCAGAATGCCCTGGGGGGGAAATTGAAAATTGAGTTGTATCAATCAATGCATGCATAAAAAGGCTATGGGAATCAGCCATCAGAGTGGTAGAATATGGTATAAAGCCTGGATCGGTAGCTGTTGTTGCATTTAGAATTCAAAGATAGGGTGACTCAGACTTTAAAGATGATTTAGGTGAAAACAATATTTCAGCTTCTCTGCTTCAACCTTGAACAGGCTTTTCAGATAGGCAAGTGATTTATTTTTTGAGGTTCCAATAGGAAACTGGGTTCTGGGCTTTTTCCAGTTGAATGTAATCTGTGGCTATTTGAGTAAGTCATGTCTCCAGAGACCACACATGCTGGCTCCACAGAAGCTGGGCTTATCCCATGAAAAGGTCAGTGTGCTGCAGAAGTCAGTAAACCAAACTAATTCAAGCTGGGGAATTGCTTGGAAACAAGGCAGAGAATGTTTGTAAATGAGAACGCCACTTCCTACTGTGTGCTTGTGCCAGTTTTCTGGAAAAATAACTCCACCATCCAGTGCAGATCTAGTTTTTCCCATTCTTACAAAATATTCTAACATCTACTGCATCTATCTTATTGCTTCCCAGCTTCTAACCATAACTCATTTGCCTATGTTAGCCATATTGCACTTCAACTTACGTTAAGCCAATTCCTGCTCTAAAAATCTGAGATTCCTTTTATGTCTGACCCTCTAGGGTCCTGCCCTAAGCTTTAGGAACACCAATCAGTCTGGTGACATTAAGAAAATGTCAGCTGGTTGACCTTGTGAAATGTGTTCTTCACACCCAAATGTGAGCTTTGCCATAGATAACAAATGCTACAAGTGATGAGCATGAGATTCCCTTTCCATAACAATGGACTGTCACAAAATGTGCATCTCAATCTTAGCCATGTTTATTTGGAAGTAGGTCCCACTGGTATCAGTGACACCGACTTCTCAGTAAGTGTGGTTTGGATTGCTGCCTGCACACACTTGTCTTCGAGTGAGCACGGTTGACGTCAGAAGGACACAGTTGGAAGGGGTCTTATAGGCTGCCTAGCCCAACCCATTGCTTGTTGCAAGAAATCCATCACTAAATCATCCTGTAGAGACGGCTAGGCTCATGCTGCAGGGCAGGGTGCCTTAGATGCATGCTGGAAATGACTGGAGAAGGTATGCAATGCCAGCTTCTCTTCAGTGGCCAGGTTGCTACTGAATACCAATTGCTGGAATCACAAGTGGGGACAGCGCTGTTGCACTTGGGCCCCAAAGACATCTGGTTGACAGCTCTGAGAACAGAATACTGGACTTCTTATGTTCTTAGGTGCAGATCTATTCAATTTCATATTCAGCATCAGTTGCTTGAAAGAACTTCTGGGTGGTGGTTACAGAGATACATGTGATGGTTACACCGAATGCACAGTACAGACAAATCACATGCAGTTAAACCCTAGTGGCTTACTCTCTTACTCTCTCCAATGAGTCAAGACTACTGGCCTTTCCTCTACACATTATTTTTCCAAACACTGTAGATAGAGGGACAAAGGGGCTTGTGGGAGTTGCAGCAGAAAAGAGCAGGTGAGTAAAGGTTAAGCATTCCCTATGCTTTTCTGGTTCTCTGTTTCAAATGTTCTTAGGTGCAGATCTATTCAATTTCATATTCAGCATCAGTTGCTTGAAAGAACTTCTGGGTGGTGGTTACAGAGATACATGTGATGGTTACACCGAAGGCACAGTACAGACAAATCACATGCAGTTAAACCCTAGTGGCTTACTCTCTTACTCTCTCCAATGAGTCAAGACTACTGGCCTTTCCTCTACACATTATTTTTCCAAACACTGTAGATAGAGGGACAAAGGGGCTTGTGGGAGTTGCAGCAGAAAAGAGCAGGTGAGTAAAGGTTAAGCATTCCCTATGCTTTTCTGGTTCTCTGTTTCAAATGGCAACCTGTAGATGCTGCTTCAAATGGGAGCTGAACAACTGGGATTTCCTTATACACATTCATGTGTAACATGAAGTTTGATGCTGAATTTCTCCCTCAAAAGCAGATGTTCTAGCATCCTTCAAGTTTGGGTAGCTAATATGGTCAGCAATGATGGGTGTTGCAATCTATTTACTGCAATTGTGTGTTTGCATTCTAGTCTCTGGGATGTTCTGTTTGTAACGCTCTCAAACTTGCACTCCCTTTGACCCTGAGGAAATGTGATGAATGCTATGGCAGAGAAAAAATGGATCACCCCCCATGGCCAAATTTATAAAAACAAAGCTTCCAGCCCTCCCTCCACCCCACAACATATTCTACCCCCGGGCAAGAGCCTGTTGGTGGAGCCTGCCCCCTCTTCTGGGTGAGAGAGGGGAGGGGTGTGTGTACAGTGGTACCTTGGGTTAAGAACTTAATTCGTTCTGGAGGTCCGTTCTTAACCTGAAACTGTTCTTAACCTGAGGTACCACTTTAGTTAATGGGGCCTCCCGCCGCCGCCACACGATTTATGTTCTCATCCTGAAGCAAAGTTCTTAACCCAAGGTACTATTTCTGGGTTAGTGGAGTCTGTAACCTGAAGTGTCTGTAGCCTGAAGCATCTGTAACCTGAAGCGTCTGTAACCCGAGGTACCGCTGTACACCTTAGGTGAGAGATGGGATGTCTTAGTAGATCCACCCCCCATTTCTTGGCACATGGCTAACTGGCATTCCTAAGCTATATCCAGTGGGATTAATTTCCTACAGGAAGCAGTGATGGCTTTAAAAGGTTAGAAAAAATCATTGAGGACAGTTATGTTGAAAGCTACTAGCCACAATGGCTGTGCTCTGCCTCCACAGTTGGCGGCAGTAATGCTTCCCAATACCAGTTGGTGGAAACCACAGGAGGGGAGAGAGCTCTTGTGCTTCCGGGTTTCCAAGAGGCATCTGGTTGGCCACTGTGGCAACAGGATGCTGGACAAGATGGGCCATAGTCCTGATCCAGCAGGCTCTTCTTATGTTCTTAAGACTGGTGTTTTGTGCTATTTTACTTTTTTCCTTTCTTTGCTGCATTCATTGTTTTAATTATAGTTTTATTGTATATTTATTTTGAATTAGAAAGTGTTGTTCATATTTGTTAATGCTGTGAGCTTCTTTCACATCAGCTTGGTTGTTGGAAAAGCAAAGCAAATCATTTTCTTTGTAGTATACCAAGGCAACTCCTGGGTACCTATGAGTTTCTCGTACTGTTTTGGAGAACCAAATATTCTATGTGAGTGCCATTTATTCCACCTCTGCTTTTTGTGGCACACCTCTTTCATGATGGCCATAAACACACCATAATTTCACAGAACAAAATAGGAACACTCTTGTAACACTCCTCCAGTTGTTATACCAGAGATCGTTGCTTGAGATGTCAACTTGCACACCTTCCTCGCTTAACGTGGAGATGGTTGGGGACTTAGCACACAGGGTGACACACACACAGGGACCTTGCAGGTGGGGCTTGCATTTGTAGTGCTGCCCCCCACCCACATCTGCAGAGTGAATGTGTACAAGGGAGCTTACAAAACTGATGGTAAAGACAAAGTAATACACCACCTGAGGCCACTGCCTCACATTGCCTAATGGTAGGAGCAGCTTTTGTCTAGACCGTTCTGTTGCACTGGAGCAGTTCCTGGAACTCTTTCAGGCATTGCAGAAGGTCAGTTAATGCAAGGTGTGAGCTTGCTTTGAACAGTGCTATTCCTTTTACTTTGTATTGACCCCTGTTCTCTTGCTTCCTGAAATAACAGAGTTAGGGTGATGTCTATCACCTGACAACTCCCCAGTTTATTGCAGCACTGAATCAAACCAATGATATTTGCAGTGATAATAAAATGTCTTTATTGTCTGCATATTTCATCGGTTACATTCATTTTGGGGAAAAATAGTAAAGTGTCTCCAGTCCTACATCTATCTATCTATCTATCTATCTATCTATCTATCTATCTATCTATATGGAATACTTTCATTGGTAAACATATACAATGTCAAATGCACTTTAATCCTAGCATCCATTATTTTAGCACAAATCGAGGGGAAGCGTTCACCTTTGGCAATTATGGGATTACATTGATTCTGATAGCCCAGTAGCTATATCATTAAATGGAAAAAGATACCTGTAAATATAGAGGATATATATCTGACTTTAGTTTGGTTGGCTATGAAAATAATCTGAATTTGCACCAATGATACAGTTGCCTATGAAAAAATCCATCCAGTGTTGTGCCCTTTTACTTTAATTGGTAGTCTTTCACAAAGGTTTATCTACATTTGGAGGTGGGGGAACATTTACTAAACCTGGGGGTGGGGAGTTTTAAAAACGTCTCTCATCTGACTGAGATTCTTCTCAGTGTCCTCAAAATTCCTACAGGTATTTTGCCTTAGGAGACCCCTCTGGATTGTCTGGAATCTTGCTGGCAGGGAGAAGAGGGTTCAATGGCACCTTAGGGGTGCATGAAGCGCACCTGATAAGTGTTATGAATTGTACTGAAAAAAATTTCACCACCACCACTCCTAAATTCCTACCAACACTTTGCTTTAGAAAAGTTCTTCAACATATCCCTCTCCAGTTTCATCTTAGGCAATTCTAAGTATAGTGAAGCAGCAATTTGAATATAGTTAATTCATTTGGAGTCATGCTGTATCCCCATCACTGCACTGAAAAAGTGAGAAAGCTCACTCTCTGCCCATCCAGTTCATGAGTTCAAGATAGTAGTTTAAGTGCTAAGGAGCAATTAATCAGCATACAGTGATTTTGTATATGCAGCCATAAGCAGCAGTTTAATGTACTTTCTGTCCTGTGCGTTGCTTGTCTTTCTTTGAAATGCAGTTATCAAAATAACAGATTTACAGCATAAGAGATCATAGGATTTGTTGTGAGTTAAAACTAGCATACATATGTACAGCTTTAGGTAGATCACTCTAAAGTAATATTTACAGTGTAAACATCCATTTTTATTATATAAGAAACAAAAATATCACAATTTTCACTTCACAATATATCTGTTTTGGTTTAAATACGGAAATCATCTCTTTGAAATACTATGAGAAACTCAAAAAAATAGTTTGATCTCATCTTTAGGATTTTTTTTGCAGGGTTTTTTCTTTTTACGGAGTTGTCTTCAGACATTCTAGAGAGAGAGAAAAATAACACGTACTTTAGAAACATTAATTTAGAAAATGATGGTAACACTTATTAAAAGGTTATACAGTAATCCTGAATTTTAAAAAAGTTCTCAGTGCATATGCTAGAAATGGGTCTGAGTGACTCACTCAGTCTTTTGCCTACTTACCTGGGAGTAAGTCCCATTGAATTCTTTGGGACTTACTTTTGAGTAGATGTATAGGATTGCACTATAGGTAAAGAAATCAAATGAACCATGATTGCTATTGCAATGCTTCTGATGGTATACAATTGATATAACAGTCTCCCACTTCGTGACACTTATGCTGAGCCCTCAGAGCATTCCCTTCTCTTGAAGAACAGAGCCCTTTGTGCTCTATGCTCCTCAAGCTAGCAGGCCACCCTCAGGTGTAGCAAAGAAGCTATCAGATCATCATTGTTGAAGTACAAGTCAACTGGTGGAATGGGTGGGATCAGGAGTGCAGTTTTGTCTATCATTTCAGGCAGCAAAATGTTTGGGGCTGGTGTGGCTCAGGTGGCAGCCATATGCAAACACAGGCACTGTACCCAGTTAGGTCAGTGTATAGGATAAAAACCTTTTAAACATGACTTATGTTTTGTCAGCTCCAAGACTTTAGCTGGAACTGGACCTTAATCAGTGGATATTCTCCTACTGACGGTCTGTGGCAGCTGTGGACAGCCTTTGGTGCTCTAGATATTGCTGAACTACAACCCCCATCATCCCAGGCCATTGACCATGCTTGCTAGGGCTGATGGGAGTTGTAGTTCCGCAACATCAGGTGGGCTAAATGTTCCCTACTGCTGGCCTACAGAATTGGTTGTATGATCTGGAGATGGAAGTGAAGCCAGGGCAAGGGCGTGGGCTAAGTCTTGGAAAGCAACTTATTGAAATTGCTTGTCCATTGCCTGGTTAAGGACAGAAGTCCAAACCTCTAGTATTTCTATCAGGGCTATTCAATCCAGGGGCCTCATATTCTTTGCCAGCATCACTAATGGTTGCACTTGCTTTCAGGAAAGATCTGGAGCCAGAGACAAGGCTCTCTCTTCCAATGCTGTGGGCTTTGTATAAGAGGTGATAAGCCTGTGGCACCTCCAGATGTTGCTAATTCCAACTCCCACCAGCACCAATGGTCAGGGATGAAAGGGCTTGTAGTCTGACATCATCTGGTGGGCCACAGCTTTCCCATCCCTGGTTGTTCAACAGTGGCTCATGTTGTTGGGCTGTTAGCCAGTAGACAACAATAAACTTGTACAAATGCAGTCCTCCTTGGGAAAATGTCATGGTAAATCAAATCATCTTCATGGCATGGCCAATAATGTCATTTAACTGCCCAAATAGGAGCTGCAATAAGATATAGGGGCTTGTCTTTAAGCATCTCAAAGGCAAAATAAGATAAGAATGATAAGACACATCATTTCCTCTAATAGCAAACCCAGATGGTTGAGTGCCCAATAGGATTGGAGCCAAAGTAGAAACAAGAGAGAAGTAGCAGGATGCTTAGAGTTATGCAGAAGAACAAAGGGGTGGGGGTTATTTCTTTTAAACAAAAAAACAAAGGGGGCAAAACCCCAAAGTACAGTTTAGTGAGACTGAGCACACTTAGTGGCATCCTGAAATGGACCACTCCTGTTGATGGATGGGGATGCATGGTTTAAATAAATGCATAATTTCTCTCAAGTTATGTTTCACAGGACTCCTTCAGAAAAAAAACTTCACTTCAATAAATTCAAACTCTAATAAGTGTAAAAATCATTTTATGTTTGACACTGATTGCATGCCGTCTACCCATATTATCCTCGGTACTCACTGATATAAGAAGTCAACGTCCTCCCCACAGTGCCTCTTTTGACCCACTTAGGCTGCAATCCTACCCATGTCTACAGAGAAATAACTTCCTTTGAATTCAACGGGGCTTTCTCCCAGGTAACTTGTGTTCATACTGCAGCCTTAGTAAATAGCAGCCCACAGTGTGAGTGTCACTAATATGAATATGAACCAGACTTCTGGCCAAGAATCTTTTTATGCTTACCCACTAACTAGATGGTCAGATTCAGAAGCGACTTAGATTTCAACTAATCAGAAGGCCAAGAAAGGTATGAGGAAAGGTGTGGGTGGACTTATTTTTGTTTTAATTAAAAGAAATGCCAGTGCAGTTATCCTCAGAGACACAGTACTATTCACCCTAATTAAACAAGTCAGTTTGGGTTTCATGCCTTAGCACACACAATCTGAGAAAACCCAAGTGAGACAGGTGAATTAACACTATCAAACCACTCATTTTCATTAGAAATACTTCAAAGATAATATCGTCATTTAATCCATGCAATTATCTTCCTGTGATGTGATTCCTACAGAAATGTCATATGGGAGTCATGTCATTAAGAGCAATTTTCTGGAAAACCCCGGTGGCACATATGAACTATGCACATAATAAACGTAAGATGGTTACTCTGGTTGGTTCAGACTTACCAATGGGAGGTGATTCAGAAGCTCAAGGTCATCTACAGTGACATCATCATAGTTTTCAGAGAAGGCAGGGTCAAGCAATTCCGTTTCATCCCGAAGGCTGGCTGGGTTTAGCTCTTCCTGACTGTGGCAGAGCAAAAGCTTAGATTTAGTTTAATTTACTTCTTGGAATTCATCTTAGAAACTTTCTCCTTTGTTGCATTTTATTGCATCATTAGCCTTTATTAAAATGATTCAACCTGTCTAGCTTTATTATACAAAACAATGTATAGCACTTTTATAGAAATCAGTTTACCTCAAGGCATAATACTGAACATTTTAGTTAATAATTATGTAATTGCTGCTTGAGAACAAGCGGGTTAGTTCTCACATTCTTAGTTAAATCATGCCTTCTATAGAAAGCATGGAAAAATATGGCTGGATCGTGATGCCCTTTCTTTCTGTACACAATCTTTGTTCTTTCAAGCTATTTTTGTTATAAATTGTCCTCAGACGAAAGCCGCTGTGATACAACGTCGCTTGCACTTTTCTATATGTTAAAAGGAAGATTGCGTTAATAGCTCGTCACTGCTGGAGACTTCTAAAAAAAACCACCTGTCTTTTGTGCACTCTTTCTTCCTACCTTCTTTTCCCAGTTAAAACAGAGTTCAAATATTTCTTCACAGCCATCTGCTTTCGAAAGCGACTGTAGTTGTCAGTAAAGACAGCATCTGAATGGCGTTTGACTGGCGGTGTCTGTTCATCAAGGGGAGTGTTATTTCTTGAACATAAAAGAGACTTGCAATTAATACAGGAGCCAATCAAAATGCAAGAATTTCAAAACCCACAGGTTGTATTTCTTGAAAGCTAAGTAACTGATGGAAAGTCTAGTCTCACTTTTCTTTTACTACATTAATACAATGACCTCATTTCTTGACCATGCTCTTAACACAGGTGTGGGGAACCTTTGCCGAACTACAAATCCCACGAGCCCCATGGTTAATATTTAGAGGGCCAAAGGTTCCCTTCACTGGTCTTAAAATGTCTGTGGAAGATTGCTATTCTATATGCACTTACCTGGGAGCAAGCCCCACTGGACTCAATGGGTTTTACTTCTAAGTAGGCATATATAGAATTGCATTGTAACTGTCTCTTACAGTTGTTTTCATCTATTGTTTGCTCAGAATAGACCAACTGAAATCAATGGACCAAAGTTAGCCATGGCCATTAATTATAATGGATTACTCTGAGTAAAACTTAGTTGACTAAACCAAATTTACTCTGAAAAGAATTCAAATCTGGTGGTAATAAATATTGAAAAGACACTTTTGAGTTCTGTCCTGCACTGTTAAGCATGCTTGAAAACCCCACTGAAATCAGTGCAAAATAAGCAGGGATCTCTCATTGATTTCAAGCAAAACAAGCAGTGACAAATGCTTGGTGGATAAAATACAGCATAATATGAAATGGAGTTGCCTTTGTACTTTTGACTGTCAGTAGCTCTCCTAGCTAGCAGTCTCTTTGCTATCTGTCAAGGATGCTTTAGCTGAGATTCCTGCATTGGACTAGATGACCCTTGGGATCCCTTCCAACTCCACAACTCTATGATTCTTTGACTCTTCAACAGAAGATATCAGAAACTTAACAGGGATTTTATGCAAGCAAAGCTAAGACTACATCCCTCCCACCATATTTGGCACACTGCTTGTACCAGTTATGGATAAGCTTGTACCAATTATGGATATCCAACTTTAAAAACTTGGCTTTCAGATTTCACTTTCAGAACAGTGGAGACACTGAGGGTGGCCTGCTAGCAGTGACCAGAGGAGAAATGAGTGCTGGAAGGAGCGCAGAGAGAAGAAACATCATGGTGCACCTGCAGCAGCACAACCAGATGACTTCATCTACCCCAGATGCAACAAAACATGTCTCTCCCACATCGGTCTCTACAGCCACAGCAGGCACTGTAACTCTCCAGCAATTCAGCTTCACCCCCAAAGTTGCACTCCTCCATTGTCTCCCGAGATAGATGCCAACAAAATACAAACACATGATGATCATATGATCAATGTTTGAATTCACACATAGTGGAATGTGGGTATTTAAGAGGAATGTAGGGGAAACCAGCTGAGTCTGGGAAACAGGAGGAATAGTTACTAACCCAACTCTTTTTCCTATAAGCGATTCCAAATATTTTCTTGCCGAAATTTGACCCAAAAGTTTGCTGTAGCCGCTTGTGAAGAGTCCATCGGCATGTCTTGTGTTCCTGCAATTGAAAGTCCTACAGTAAAAAGCTGTGACCTACATTCTCAAGATTGTATATAGTTTCATATTTACAGCTAATGTACAAACAACCATATAGTTACTGCAGCTAAAGATATGTGGATCCTTACAGTTCCAAACGCATAATTCTAGTAATGCAAACATAGCTTAAAGGCCATGAAAGAGGGAGAGAGGAATGGTCAGAAAGCCTCAGTGAAATTACAAGCAGTTCAGTATTCAGATTTGCAATGATTATTAGATTATTATTTTTTAAAAAAAATGCCTTACCTATCCATAGCTCTGTACACATCATAATAGAACTTGTCATTCTCAGGTAGTGTAGTTTGCAAAATGTCAGCTTCAGATTTTAATGAGCCTTGAGAATGATCAGATTCACTTGCCCCATCAAATGGCATTCTGTTTCCTAATCTAGTGAAGAAGAGGAAAAGAAAACAATGTTTGAAGATGCTAGAGAATTCTTACAATCGCCTCCCAGGTTAAGATTGACTATTACTGTAAGATGCCTATAGTAAGCAATTCATAAATGAAATCATTATTCTCATTCATTATGACAATGAAGAATATTAGTCACAACTGCAGATATTTTAAAACTGTGTCCATATCATGCAGATGTCCCTACTCTTTTAATTATTTCAGTACAGACTTCACAATGAACAGTTATACATGCAGAATGATTTCATTATGTGCTGATAAGATAATACAGAAAACATGGTCTTGCCAATGGGAGAGATTTAGGTACACTAAGCTCTCCCATTCAAATCAAGGGGACTTCAAAGTAGTTAACTTCAGTTGATCACAACCATAGTAAATGACCTAAGGGAGTTTCAGTGCGAAAAGGAGATTTTTATAGTGCAATCCTATTCATGTCTGCTGAGAAGTCCTATTGACCACAAATGGACCAACTCCCAGATGCATGTTTATAGCATTGCAGCTTCAGTCTGTAATTTAACTTATTGTATAAATGCGTGCACATGGCAGTCCCTGTGGTGTTACATTGATAAACCTCAAACATGATGATTGGAGCAGGACAAGGGAAATTAGAACACTATGCAAAAGTCAAATGCCATGGTTTAAGTATGGTGACCAGTGGCGTAGCGTGGGGGGTGCAGGGGGGGGCCGGCCACACCGGGCGCAACATCTGGGGTTAGGGCAAATCCACAGGTTAGGGGGCGCAAATCCACGGGTTAGGGGGTGCAAATCCACGGGTTAGGGGGCGCAAATTACTTGCCTTGCCCCGGGTGCTGACAACCCACGCTACGCCACTGATGGTGACCAGGTAAAAAAGAGGACAGGATTCCTACACCATTAACAGTTGTGTAGAGGAGGGAATTCTAGCACATGTAGCTAGCATAATAAGCTGTTCCTGCCAAATTTCCCTCTTCTACACTATTAAAAGTGTCGAAGTTCTGTCCTCCATTTCACCTGACCACCCTGTTATCAAGCTCCAGCAATCTTATACAATTGAAGAAGCTCCATTTCTTCAAAGGATCTTACAGAGCCCCCAAAGGCTTTCTGTAAGTAAAAGAACACAAATGTAAACGAGAAGCCTCCTCAGTTTGCTGATGCTGTTCTTCATAAAATCAGACCCCCAGCCAGCAGTGTCTTTGGATAATTTACCTGACAAGTTTGGGGAACCTTCAAACATCACTGAATTGTGTCTGAATTGGCCAAACATTTGGCTTCCCACCAATAGATAATCTCAGATGAATGATAATCTCAAATGACAAATCAATAAAACAATTTAATTGTAATAGATGTTTAGAAACAATGGTTGGACAAAGTGATTCATAGCATGCCAACTATTAACCACAAGGTAATCACACTGAACTGTTCAGGACTGAATACGTGACCCAATCGGATATATACAGGAAGTAAAAAAAAAAAGTTTAAAAAAAACTAAGATCAGAAAGATTGTTGTTTGAATATCTGCTAACTTTTTTCTGTGAAACTGACAACCATCTCTGGCTTGAGATGACTAGTTCCATATTCCTTCCTGCTTCTATCTTTTCATTTCAAGTATTTGTATACCACTTTTTATCAGAATCGATCATAAAGCAGTTTACAAAGGAAATTAAACACCAAAATTAAATAATACCGTATATAAAGCAGATAAATCAAGATCCATTCCACTCAGTCCCCACCAAAATTCCTTAGTCAACCACCACCTGGACACATTCACCCTCCCTCACTCTCAACAATCACCCGTCCCAATAACCTGCATAGATTCTAAAACTAATATGTGATGTGACTAAAGGAAGAGAGCGTCCTAGTTCTGATATGATGTTGAAAGTCATGTTTCTGCTAAAAAAAACTTGAGCTGGGGGACATTTAATGCTCACTTAAAATATACAATGGGATCTTGAAGCTCCTGGAGGTTAGTAAGAGGTGGAAATAATCCCCAGCACTTGTTTTCCCAAATTTTCTCAGAAAAGGCTTTGATAAAAGCTAATTTTCTCCTAAGGATTCCTCGACATAAAATTCTTTTTGAGGTAAGATCCATGGATAATACTGAGTGCTACTTATAGCAAACATATAATCTATGATGCCTACTTTAAGATTCTTCCAGCCCTTTGATCCTAGAACTGCTTCAGTTCTGAATTTTCCAATGTGTTTAATACATAGACATGCTATAAAGTCCTTTGTAATGATGGTTTTGCGTTGATTTGACATCTGAGTTTTCGATTATGTTCTATAAGATGTCTGTTTCAAGCACAGGGTTGAAAAAAATATTTTAAGTCATATATGAGAAACCCATGCCCTTTCATAAGTTGTTGGACTCAAATTTTTTAACAGCCCAGGTCAGCATAGGTAGAGGTCAGGCATGATGTGAGTTGTAGTTGAATACCATCTGGGGAGCAACAGGTTCCCCACCCCTGAGTAATATGTTCCTCTTATCACAGACTAAATACCAAGGTAGTTGTGATGGGAAATCACTTGATGAATATTACCTATGTTTCACTTCAACCTGGCTGTCTCTTTGTATGGAATTCCATTCTGTCAGTCCTAATCATGATCTAATGGTAAACACAAGAATATCTGGATCCTCTTTTGAAGGACCCAAATTGTTTATGACAGACTAGTGCCGTTCTCAAAAGCACAATTCAACAAGAACGCCTTTCATCTTGCCGTGCCCCTTCTGTGCCTATTAACAAGCTATTAGAGCATAAATGGGCTTCTGAAGCTGGGCATTTAGTTGGCTGGCATTCACTGCTAATGACCGCTAAACTAGGCTAGCACCTAGACTGTTGAGTGCTAATACTCAAGCAGCTCATGATAACCGCCATTAAGAGTATGAATGCAACCAATAATTGTGGACATGTTGATCTGGATTTATATTCTTCTTCCATATAATAGTCCATATTAAACATTTGTAGTAATGGAAGCTGAACTAAAGCTAGAGGTTTTATGTTTCCTGACAGAAGAGCAGTCAGGAGGCTTAGGACGGACTTTGCTTGATATACAAAAGGTCTTGTTGTCTGTTATAAAACAAAGTTTTATTTTGGCTCTCTGTTTTACTTTTAGATATTCAGTTGAGAGTGTGTAGGTTGGGGTGCTGGATCTGCCAGTGTGATCCCACCTCACATATAGGTGAGTTTATTATATTGTATGAATAGGACTCTTGAGTGCTTTTGAACAAAGATAGAATGGATGAATCTTCTAGTTAGTTTCTAAAGATTCTCCTGTTGTGGCTGGAATATGTAGATAGTGTTCAGGCAACATACCTCTTGGTTTTATTTACTAAACATTTTTCTCTGAGTTTTAATATGTAACTGGGCAGTAAACATGTGTGGTTTTAAGAATATCCACGTCTGTGTCAAATGCTTATTAAAGAGCTATCTTTTATCCATGGGACAGATTGCTTTGAAATACACCTGACTGTTTTTCTCTGTCCCCACTTCTTGCTGTGTGTGTGTATACCTGCATCCTCTCATAAGGAGAGGACCCTTGGAAGCTAAAAGTCAGGCCCTTGAGGAGGAGAAGGATGGTGATGATTATGATGATGATTTATTGTACCCCAGCCGCTCTGGGCATGGATCCTAGAACACACCAAGCTTACAACAGCAATTTCAACACAGTAATAACTAATGCTGAAATTCTTATGAAACAACCTTCCCTAACCTGGGGCTTTCCGGATGTTTCAGACTCCATCAGACTCCCCAGCCGGCATAGCCAGTGGTCAGGGAGGATGGGAGCTGTAGTCCAAGAACATATGGAGAGCTCTATGTTGGAGAAGGCTGGGTTAAAAGGATGGCATGGAAGTAAAACAGATAAAGCAAATGGTAAAGAGAGCCATCGTATTTTCACTCTATGGCTAGGTGTTGCAAGGTTGCAGATGCACTTCCATTGCATGCAAGGAATCTCAATGATTTTTCAAGGGCACTGAACTGAATAATTTGATGAACATTTTGGACTAACATCTATCAAAGTTACTGCCAAGTAAATATGTCCTCATTTCTTCCTGTTCATTTGTATTGAACTATTTAGCTATTTCTAGCCTCTTACACATGAAACAGTGAGAGTCAGTAACAAAAGGCATAAAAGCATACATGAAATATCCAGTCAAGCTATGCCCAAAGTTAAGTTTTCAAAAAAGTGCTCAGTTCCCTTTTGGCTAGTCCAAGTAAAATGATATTGCAAATTTTCCTAAGCACATTCAGGTTGGCCATTGCAAGGTAGGCAGCATTAGAGCATTTCAAACTGTAGGGTTTGGGGTTTTTTTGTTACAGTTTTGTGACATCTGCATCTCCTGTTGGATTTGCAAATCATGCTGTTCTCTAGGTAGGCTTAGCTGGAGCAACCCTTACCTCATAGCAGAGTATGTTCCCAGAGGAGGTAAAGCGAGTGCTTGAGTGCAGAGAACATAGAGGAGAGCAAAGGAGAGGAGAAGCTGGGGGCCACTTCCATGTTCCATCTCTGTGGACCTGCCTGAACAAAGATAATTTTAAAAAAGGTTAACCTCTTGTTGTCAATGCCCAAATTTTGCATAAACAAAAAGACATGGCAAAGGGTGGCCTAATAAACATGAAATTGGTAATTCTGAATAGGCAAAGGAAGACCACTGTAGGGCACATTTCAAAATATTAAAAAATTATATTAATTTAAAATATTATTAATTGGGCAAAATCATTTGGATTCCTGGTGTTAAGGAATTGTCCTTGAACAAGAAGGTTGAGAGAGGCAAATAAGTTTCTTATGACAGATTCCTTGTGAGATAAGTAATGTGCAGTTGGTAGCAAAGGCATGGATGATTCTTGTATGAACGAGAAGATGAATCACAACAACCATTCGTTGCAGGGGGGTGGACTAGATGACCATCTAGCTCTACAGTTCTATGATTCTTTGCTGCCTTGACAGATCAACTTCTTCATGCATTAAAAGTGCTTATTTTGGTGAGATACACAGTATAAGTTACCTAGAAGCTTTCGGCGAAGCTTAACTTAAAAAAAAGTCAGAGGGTTGACATGCAAGCCGGCAGAGAGAGGAGATAGGTACACAGACTGACAGAAGAAATCACCTTGTTAATAGTATATTGGGGTCAAAATGTTAATTTAAATCAGTCTGATTTTCATAGTGATTAAAATATGACCATATAACTTTGATATTTCTGCCACTTGACTTACTTTCTTATTGAGCCTAAATGTATTTTACTGTTTTAACAACTGAAAATGCACCATGTATATAATTCAGCATATAAAATCATACAATTTATGAAATGTACAGAGCAAGCATGTTTACCCATAAGTAAGTCCCACTTTGCTTAATCAGAGTCACTGCCAGATAACTGTGCGCAGGACCGCAGCTGAAGACAAAAAGTGCAGTTCCTCTTTACAGCTTTGAATCAAGATAGTAAATAAATGCTGTTTGCAACCCAGGAGCAGTTACTCTGCGATACCGTTGAAATTCACTGGGAACAGGTCCAGAACTTCCACTTTAAGGGCTTTGGAACTAGAGACAAGGCACTAATGAGCTGGAAAGGGATTTCACATGGCTGTAACGATAATTCATTCATTCACATGCAAAGGCATCTCTTTTCATTGTTTTACAGTAGCAACTGCACACAAAAGCCCCCCCCCCCCCCCAGTGTGGAAGGGGGAGCTGCATTCCCTTCATCAGATACCAAGAATGTTGCTAAGAATAAAATCCATGTGAAACTGCAGTGGACAATTTCAGAGGAAAGGTCATGTGCAACACAATTCACACTCTAGAAATCTGGACAAGGGAGGAGAAGAAGCAGAAAGAGAAACAAAATTATGATAATAAAATAGAAAAAGAGTAGTGAGCAAGGACTCCCATAAGCATAACAGCCAGAAGTAAGATCAAAAGCAGGAGTGGATCTGAAATACTGATTATTTTTCCTGAGGCCAAAGGAAACAACTTCAGTTATCTGGGAGATTAATCAGTAAAGGCATCAAAAGAAGAATTATCTCTCAAACAGATTTGGTTCCACTCTGTGCATAGAAACTTTTTAGCTGTATTTCTTTTGCCACAAACAAACATTAGTCTGGAATTTCTCTGAACTGAAATCTACCAGCACCACAAAGGGAAACTCCTAAAACTTTTACTTACAAAGCCGGAAGAGGAACCTCAAAGGCAGGTGACACTACGAGCTTTCCGAAGTGCTGAATTCCCTCGGCAGCTCCTTGGCCGTTCCACAAGTTTCTTCCTCAGGTGCTGAGCAGGAATGTGCCAAGGAAAGTGCCTGTCCGTTTCTGCTCCCTCTAACTGCCGGTCTGAAGTTTCAGCAGCTCTCCTTCCTGGGCGAATGCCTCTCTCCCCCTTCAGTGCACTCTGTGCAGCCTTTCAAGCAGCCTCATCTTATAGGGTTTATATACACAGGACCACTTTTCCGCTTCAAAAAGAGCAATCACGTTACGTTGGAGACGTCACACTCCCAAGGGGATGAATGGAAATGTCTGTGATTGTTTTGTCCAGGATGCTGTGAGACAAAGGAAGTTCATATTTAATTCATGGGAAGCCCCCCCCCCTCTCTGTTTAAATTGATTTATTGCTATATTGATGAATGACTTAACATGAGTAACACTGGACTGGGCAAAGAATGCAGCTTTTAAGACACAAATCCTGCTTTCAGGAAGATGGGACTTATAAAACAGAAACCCAGAACATTAAGTCATAGTTACCCATAGTGGGTCTCTTCTCTCTCCAATTCTTTTAATTTCAGGGAAATTGCCAAGCCAGAGCTCCCTGACACGTCTTTGAAAGATGAGCAAGAAATATCAGAAGATCCTGATATCAATTTCAAGACATACGACTATGTCTTTGACTTCTAAATTCTCCGATCAAAGAACAACTAAGTTTGAGTACTGTGTATGTTTGATTTTAACATCAGGCTATACTAAAAGTTATTTTCATATTACACAGAGAGCAAACCTAAGTGCTTTGCTTAGTAGAATTTCCTACATTTTTACACTGGAGCAGATAATACCTAGGATGTTCCTTTTTAATATTTTACTTTTCCTATATTCCTATTTCTTCGCTCTGCCTGATATCCTTTCTTTTCAATACCCTTTCTTTTCAAAGACAGGACTACTTGCTGCTGTCTCTCTCATTTTACTCAACGTGTTTGCCCATTCCAGCAATCCCAGCTAATAAAGCATTAGTCAAAACTTGTACCCATAAACTAAACCAAATAATGGCTGACATTCAACTCTCTAGTTTGTTTGTATCACTGATTCCCCAGAATTAGCTGGTTAAACATTATTTATTGTAAAGGGAAAGACACATAGAACATGAGGCCAATTCTTGGTCTGAAAAAGAGAAACGACTCGTAAAGTGAAAAATTCCCCCCAGATAGACCTATTAAGTTTCAATGAAATTCCCAGCCTTGGACTCAAAAAATGTTACTTCATCTGAGTAAGGGCTAAACAGAGCCACACCTCAGATCCTCTTCCAAAGGCTGTGGCTTGTAACTTATGAAATATAAGCATAATTGAAAGATATATGTTCAGCAGGACAATTTCCCAGCATGCATGTAGAGAACAGGCTATCTGTCCTAGAGGTTTATCCTCACCAGGAGTGCCAACTTGGCCCCACTACTGAGAGTGCCTGGGGCTGTGGGTGCCATGCAGCATGCATGGCCCTGGCACCAAAATTTGTGGATGCCCAGCCCCTTCATGGGGAATTTGTGGGTGCTCAGGGTCCCAGGGAGTTGGCACCTATGGCCCCCACCCATACATTTTTAACATTTCCTACAGCTAGGCTTATGCCTTCCAAGTTGATCACCATTTGCACAGTGAAAGAAACATTTTCTGTAATAGCAAATTTTAGAAGACAGGTGTATACTCACCCCCCAGGTTTGCTTTCATTACTTTGGTGGAACTGTTGTTTTAATTTTATTTCTCTCTGTATGCAAGCTGGCCAGGCATCACAGGTCTCTGACCAAGTACAAAGTGCTTTTTCTCAACCATTCAGTAGCCACGGTCATCCCCAATAATATATTAGCTTTGCATTAATATATTTTCATTTTATAATATTATGTATATAATTTCATATCAATATGTTCATTTTACGCTGGCCACTTTATATGTTGTTTTTGGAAGAGGTTTACGCCAGGCTCTGAGTTTTATGCATTGCATTTGCATATTTTATCAAGTTTGGTAAACCATCCAGAGGACTTCAGTTGATGGGTGCTCTTGAAATGGGAAATTAGTAAATAGGTGATGATAAACAATAGTTTAAGGATCATGACTATGGGATCAGAGGGAATGGCTTTCATCCTGTAGTGCCTAAAATCCATCTTTCTTGACTGCTTAAGATAATGGGAGTTGGAGTCCAATAACATCTGGCTTCTTCTTCTTCTTCTTCTTCTTCTTCTTCTTCTTCTTCTTCTTCAATACCTCCCTATACCCGGAAGTCTCAAGGAGGTTCACATAAAAAGATCACAGTATATAAAATTAAAATTAAAACAATAACCCAATTTTAGGTTGAAGTGTTTATTAAGCTGTGACGCACAGATCTTACGTCACTTGAAAATGCAGTATTAGGAGATATGCAGAAAAAGTATTCAAGGGCCAAAACTGATATTTACATTCCAGGAGCCGTCAGTGCAGTGGGGCAGGGGATTGAAGTTTGCAAGTCATAAGCAGCAAGGCTGGGGCTCTGAAGGCACAGCAGCAGGAGCACCCATGCAGCCCCAGCCTTGCCAGGGCCACCTCCCCCACAGTCTTGGTAAGCGGCAGCAATGCCACTGTCAGGTGGATGCCTCTGGAACCCCAAACCACTGCATTGACCACTCCTGCTGCATTCTCTGTCTTTATATTCCCACCACATTTTGTAGGCTTACACATGATTTATGCATTAAGCATAGGCAACAGGTTTCTTCTGCAAAGGATGTGGCTACATAGGTTTCTTCTGCAAATAATATTTTGTACAAAGATTTGTACTAATCCCAATTAGAGAGGCGGGGTGCATTGGAGGGCTCCAGCAAGGCAAGGTTCAATGGTGGGACGAAGTCAAAGCACAGACTTCCCGAGCACTTTGTGTGCCTTGGCAATCCAGACATTTTTAAACAGCTGCAGACATGTGCCTTTAAAAAGGTTTTTTACAAACTTTCATTATAGCAGTCTAATAGCACAGACCAAGTGGCTAGGGAAGAGCAAATACCAGACTAGGTGCTTTAACAAGGCAGAGGAGTAGCAACTATAATTCCAGTCCAAGAGAAACAACCAAGGCTCAAGAGTTCAAGATTAGGTGCATCTAGAGGGGATGTTAGCCAAATGAGCTTGGCTGCATTGTCTCATCTCTCCATCTGAGTCCTTGTCCTCCAAAGTCTCCAACTCCTGCTCTGAATCCGAGGCTCAGTGGGGACAATGAGAGGTATATAATAGCATGAAGTTTCAAAAAGTAAAGATAGCCATTTTGACCTGTAAGAAATAATCCAAAATTCATATTAGGGCAATAACTTTATTGGGCCAACCAAAATATCACTATCTGCATGTTAAACTTCCCAGTAATTTTAATCAGGCTAGATGGTATACAATGGAAGGATCGAATGTGGGAGGAGGTAGAAGACATTCAAATGAGGCTCTCTTAGCTGTTTTGTCGGTTTAAGGCTGTGCCAAGGGTTGGATAATCCAAAGAGTTTGTCTGCATGCATTTTTCTTTTAATGTTTCTTATGTAACACCCATCCAAAGGGCAGGAAAGTGGAAAGATTGCAGCAAACAACCATCACTTGGCCAGTTGTGGATTATGTACGAGGCATGATCCAGCCAAAATTAAAGTTCCATTGGTTCCATGGAACATTTGAGCATTAATAGAAACAATGTTTAATTTCCACTGAATGGAGCTGTTTCTTCTCACTCTTAAACCAAGCTAATTTCTCCTGATCTTTATCCAGAGATTTCCAAATCATAACCCATCTGCTCATGAGCAAATGCCACTGAAATTTAAGATGACTTGCTCAAAAGTAAATCACATAAGACTCATAGCCCCCAAACCCAATAAATGTGGAAGATATTACCATTTCCTCTTCCTTCTAATAAACTTCCCATCTCTCCCCTGTTTCATGTATTTGCGAGTTTAGGCAAACCTGATGGTGAATATTCAGTAATCCTTAATCACATTTTCTAATTCACTTACATAAAAATTAAATGAATTAAACCCAAAAAGAAATTGTCTGGATTTGTTTTCTGGGATGACAGCAGGGTGACTTAAACCAGAGTTCCTGGAAAGGACTGATTCCAGGAAGTTTGTTCCCCTTCTTCCTCTGTAACTGGCTGGGAAACAAACAGTCAGAATGTTTTTGCACAAATTGTCATCTCATCTGTCCTCCCAGTTGAACGACGTGGCCCAGGGAGAGAGGGAAAAATAGTGGAAGTGAACAACTGGCTTCGCAAATGGTGTAAACAGGAACGGTTTGGATTCTTAGATCACGGAATGCAGTTTCTTAAAGATGGACTTCTGGCAAGCGATGGGCTGCACCTCACAACGGTTGGGAGGAATGTTTTTGCAAAAAATCTCAGAAACCTCATCAGGAGGGCTTTAAACTGACTAATGTGGGGGAGGGAGACAGTGCTCCTGATGGTGGGAGTCTATCAATTGATGAAGATGATCATCCAAATGTCATAGACCGAATGGAGCAAAGAGCATGCAGACCTAGTGGTGGGAGGAAAAAATCCTTAAATAAGAGACACGGGGGAATGATTAATGGACTTCAATGTCTGTACACTAATGCGCAAAGCATGGGAAATAAACAAGATGAGCTTGAGCTCCTGGTACAGCAAACTAAATATGACATAATAGGAATCACTGAAACCTGGTGGGATAAATCCCACGATTGGAATGTAATAATGGAGGGATACAATCTATTTCAAAGAAACAGACCAGACAAGAAAGGAGGAGGAGTGGCGTTATATGTCAGGGATGTGTATACCTGTGAAGAGATCCAAGATTTAGAACCTCAAAGCCAAAGTGAGAGCATTTGGGTGAAAATTAAGGGAGAGAAGAATAACAGTGACCTCATTGTGGGAGTTTACTATAGATCCCCAAGCCAAACGGAGGACATAGATGATGCCTTCCTGGAACAGATGGCCAAGCATGCAAAAGGAAGGGAGATTGTAGTAATGGGGGACTTCAATTACCCTGATATTTGTTGGATGTCAAACTCAGCCAAGAGCATAAGGTCAAACAGATTCCTCACTGCCCTTGCAGACAACTTCATTGTCCAGAAAGTGGGAGAAGCAACAAGAGGAACAGCCATTTTAGATCTGGTCCTAACCAATGTTGATGACCTGGTTAGTGGGGTAGAAGTGGAAGGATCATTAGGCGCGAGTGATCATGCTCTTCTGAAGTTTACTATACAGCGGAAAGGAGCAGCCAAGCATACTAGGACTCAATTTCTCGACTTTAAGAAA